TCATGTTGCTTCACTTAATATAGCACAATCACTGCCCATGTCATTACACATCAATGTTTCTTCTGATTTGGCCAGACTGTAGAGAGCACACAGTTCAGTAAAACGTTTTCTTTCCCCAAGTGGGAGCTGGGCTTGGGGCATGAGAAGCTACCAAGAATCAGAAAGACTGTAAATGTTAAGGTGTCATCGTGAGATCTTAAATATTGTTCCTGTTTTCATGGGAGATAACAGGGGAGCCACAAACGAAATAGTTATTCTCTCTTAACCTGGAAGTCAGTCCTGGGAACCTCTAAGTGTGAAGCCTTCCAGAAGCCTTGTATTTACTGACCACGGAGCAGGCCTTGTGCCAGGCAATTTCATGGATGTTCTCGCCTGCTCCTCCCGGTACCGTGTTGGTGTAGGCATTTCCACCCAGCCTGAAGGCAGGCCACGGGGACCCCGGGCTGGGCTGGACTTCAGATGCCCGGGTCCCGTTCTGCCTTCTTTTAGAGAAGGCTGCTTCTTTCCAATACAAGGAAAAATCGCGCCTCAGTGAAGGAAACCAAGAATGGGCTAAACGAGTGGAACTGGAGTTACAAACAACAGCTGCCAGGAATCCTGAACACGGAGAGGAAAAACGAAGCCGAGAGGAAACGGAGCTCCCTGCGGTTCCTCTGGCAGGAGCGGGAGGAACGGCCGCACGGAGCGGGGGCTGGCTTTGCACACGGCCCCCACGCAGAAAAAGACCTCATTCTTTCAAGAGCTCAAAAGGGGGCAACAGGCAACAGTGGAGGCTGGAAAGTGTGAGCAACATTAGAGGAATCCTAGCTCTGACACAGGCCAGAAAGGGCGTAGAGCACAGAACATCTGGAAGCTTGGGCTTCAGGCCGGGGCCAAGGGCCTGCGCTGTACAACATGCTGTGTGTGCTGGGCTGGGCCCACTGCAAAGCCGAGACAGAGGGTCTGGGCCCCAGGGCCTTTGGTTCACAAATCCTTTCCTTCTCCCCTTGAAACAGGTGAATGATGACGAGCTTCATTGAGTAACGGGATGGGAGACCTGGCTGGAGGAGGCTGCATCTCATGCTGTCACTCGGAGACCACAAGGTGCTGGGATCAGGGGAGAGTCAACCGCCCCCGACCCTGGACCAGCAGGCCTGGCTGGTTGGCGGGGGCCTTTCTCGGGATTCAGTTCTTGGCCAGAAGTCCCTGCCGTAGAGCTCGGGAGATCCGAGAAGGCTCAGTAAACCTGGCGGCTGCTCTTCAGGTTTGGCAAACTCGAGATTTTTCCAGTGCCTTGAGTTCAGCAGAACTGAAAATGTGTTTGGCTAGAAACCTTCCTCTAATTTTTAAACCCCTGTGCATTTTTTTTTTTTTGTAAATTTGATCCACATGCTTTTGATTTATTTTTATTTAACTCATCACATCAGATTAGGAGCTACAATGATGAAGGGAACAATGCTGATTTCCAAGGTTTTTTAGCCTCTTTTCTTAGAACGAAATCACCTCTCCCCCAGCCCACCATTTCAGTGTGGTTTGTAATTTAGAATCCAAATGTGAAAGAGATCCATGCTTGGCAAAGACGAAGCTCAGCGCAGGAATGCTCTTAGGAAGTCACGGCCAGAAAGCCGGGGCAGGGAGGGGCTGGGGGAAGAAGACAGGGAGCGCCTGTTCTTCACTGGATGTTTAAGTCAGTTCACTTGGCTTCCTGGGCTCCCAACAGAGGCCCTCACTGTTTCTTAGAGCCTGACTTTAACACTGCCACTCAGGGAAAGAAGTTCCTGTCCCAAAAATGGGGGAGGAGGGTCCCCTGTACTCATCTCCTTTCTCTACACTCCTCCATAGTAGCCAATCCAAGGGGCCCCTCCTCTTCCCTCTAATCTCCCTCCGCTTTTCCTGGCCCTGCCGAAGGCCGCTCCATCTGGAAGCATTTAAAATGTACAACAATTTTAATCTTGTGCAAGGGAATATTGGGATCTATACAACCTACCCATTAGGCTAAATTAAGGGTCCACAATCTTATTTTGCACAATGCTGTCTGGCCTAGGTTGGCACACACTGAACATCATTACTGCCTTTCTCAATTACTTTTTTTTTTCTTTCTACATCATCATCTCATCATCGCCTATAACTTAAGTCTGAGGCCGGCAGTATTTCTCCGAAAAGCTGGACACTGAGGTCCCAAGGCCAAGGTCTCTCTTCAGAGCCCCTCGAACCAGCACCCAGGGGTCCGCTGGCCACTATCCAAAGAAATATCCTGGAGCCCGGCGTCTCTCCCCTGAGCGCACTGATTGGATTGGACAGGCCTTGGTGTAAGTACCATCTTGCTATTTAATAACTGTACACCATTGGGGGAGTTATTTCACTTTCCTGGGTCTCAATTTCCCATTCTATGAAATGGGTATAATAATCACATGTAGTTCACAGAGCTGTGAGGATTAAATGAGATACTGCATCCACATGTAAATAAAGTATGTTGTCTGGTCCAGACTAAGTAGTTAACAAATATGAGCTGTTACTATCATTATAAAAACTCAACACTTCATTCCACTCTATGCTTCTCTAAGACCATGTACATTTTTCCAGGATTGCCAGTTTCCTTTTCAAGCCTTCCCCGTTCCTCACCAATGTGGGACAGATCAACCCACTTCCCTGCAAACGGGAATCACTGAAGACAGATGAGCTGGGGCTTCTGATCAGCCAGCTGGGAAGTTCCATCAGTCCTCAGGGAGTTTCCCACACAGGCCCACGTTTTAAAGCTACAGTCTCCTCTTGGGATGCACAGCAGCAGAACGACTGAAATAGCTATAATTTCACTGCATTAGAGATCGTTCTTCTTCAAACCAAACCAAGCCTCTTGTCCTCACTTTAAATAGAAAGCACGTGTGTGTCCGAGTGGGGGGTGAGGTTTTCACTTTGCTTTAAGAAGTAAAATGGTGTTTTCTGAGACGCTCCCTGCCATGGAACACGAGTCACACTGCCTCTGTCCCCTTTGGGAAGCAGAAAGGTGACGGCACCATTTAATGTGTCTGATAAATGCCTCTCCCAAGAGGGAAGACACAGAAATGCCTGAGTTTCATATTTATTCTTTTTTCTCTGGCCATGAATCTATGAGTCCTGATATGGACCAGAACTGAGGGGCCAGGGCACTTTGATGTCGCAGTGGTCCTCATCACACAGAATTGCTAGGAGGGCTAAAAGAGACCTTTGCAGGATCTTGACGAGTAGTAATTATCACTTCTACCCAGCTAACCTCACCTGACATCCTCGATGATCTCAGGAAATCTGTGTCTTCCATGCCTGATACTTACTAGGGACCTGCCTCTCGGTGGCCTTCTCTGCCTGTGGGTGAGTGGTGAGTGCATTTTGGATGCCAGCCTCAGCTAGAGAAGAAACTACCCCTGCTCACAGCCCTGCCAAAGGGGCAGGCCTAGGTGACGGTGCCCACCAGCGGCTCTGGAGTGGACACACCGTCTGAAGGACACGCTACAGCTGGGAAAGTCACTGTGGCCAATGGGATTCCCCTCTGGTGATCTGGACCGGGAGAGGGGGAGACTGGGTTGACCGGCAGCAGAGACACACAGAACCTGGCCGCTCCCATTAACGGCAGCCCCCCCGAAGGGGACAGCCTCCCCTGCTGAGGTCCCCAGGACGCCCTGGGCCCAGGACCACCTCCCCACACGCCTGGCTGCTCACACGTTCTTGTACACCACAAACACCTCTTCCAACAGCTTCAGAATAAGCATGTCCCTTTTTCTGAGTTAGCTGGAGTGGGTTTCTGTTTCCTCCAACAGAAAGAGCCTTCGCTCACACAGCTCCGGCCCTTGGGGAGAACATGCAGATGGAGCCCTGGCTGAGCATTCTGGGAACTCCCAGCACAAGGCATCGCTTCAACAGTCACATGGGAGGCAACCCGGTCTGACTCGTCCCTGGCTCCCTTCTACCTCGGACATCGGGAAAGTTAAAACTCTCTCTCTCCCTCTGGCCTTCCTGTAGCGAGGGGGGTCATGTGAGATAGTCTGGCCAAAGATTTGCAAGTGAGTGTCTGTCCCTCCCTCCTGTGTTGTGTGAAAATGTCATGCTTGGAGCTGCTGCCACCATCTTGCAACCGCAAAGTGAAAGTCAGACAAGAGATACCCAGCCCTGGCACATTGGAGATGCTATGCCACCGGCAGACCCCAGAGAACAGACTCCTTGTTATGTGAGAAAAATATATCTCTAAACTACCATTATGTTTTTCTATAACTTAGAAGCAAAATCTTTTTGAAATTATATACTCTGAAATAGAACCTGATATTATTTCTGTATTATATGAAAAATGATTTTTTTAACCGAAATTTATGACTTGTTTTTCAATTAGCTTCTCCATATATCAACTGAATGACCCCAGCTCTCCAGGTAATTAATGCTGATTGAGGAAGGTGGGTGGGGGGGTCACAGAAGTCTCCACAGGAGGAGCATTTTTGTTAAATTCTAGAGAAAAAAAGAATTTGGGTGTATGGAGATGGGTAGGAAAGGCATTCTAGGTAGAAGGAATAGGTTAAGTACATATGGGAAACTGAAAGCCAGGAGTAGGAAATAGTAAATTCCTTCAGGCTGCAGTAAGGGAACAAATCAGATTAAAAAGTTAGACCAATCTATAACAAGCCTTGAATGCCCCCCAAAAAAGGAGGAGCCTGGGCTTTATTCTCCAGGTCATGTGCTGTTTAAAGCTTCTACGCAAACAAGGTCACAGTAGCTGTTTGGTAAAGTCTACCTAACAGCCAACAGCCACACGTGGGATGGACTGAGGCGACGGGAGGCCGCTAGGAGGCTATGCAGCTACCAGGGCAGAGGCCATGCAGGGGTGAGACAGGACCGTCCATGCGAGAATGGGGTGGGAAGGAGAAACAGACATGAGAGCGAGTGCCGAGGTACATGCCAGACAAGCCGACGGCAGCCGGATATGGGGTGAGAGTCACAGGAGGAGCAACGTAAGAAAATACTTCATTGTACAAAATAGAAACGAAACGCTCCAGCAGTACCTCCGGAGCTGACGACAGGAATGGCTTTATGTAGATGTTGGAGTCATGCACCTTCAGGTCATGGTCCCCCAGCCCCCGGGTCACTCCGATGGTCGCCATCACTCGGGCCTGCGAGGAAAGCAGAGGGTCCTGAGAAACTCCCCCGTACGAGCCGCGCAGCCGCCACGGGCCCAGAGAGAAGCAATACTCCCCCAGTTCCTCTCCCTCTCGCTGCCAACCAAGGCGGGTAGCTGTTTCCAAGGAGGGGCTCGCTCACCAAGATCACTATGTCCTTGGCGAGTGGCTTTTCCACCAGTTATCCTAAGTGTGATGGGTGGCTGTTGTCTGTGTCCTGCTTTCTTTTGTAGAGACCAGAGGGAAGGGGGTTCAATAAACCAAACCCAATACAGGTGTGATGTCCACAGCTACTATTTCAGTTCCAATCAAACCCAACAGCATCCATCCATTTGTCTGTCCATCTGTCTGGCATACACCCACTCCACAAGTACGTGCAGAACACCAGCTATATCTCTGGCACCGTAATATAGGCACTAGTAAAACCGTGCGACCCCCAGAGGGGCCGTGCAGCGGGGTTGCGGGCAGCCGGGCGACGGACCATGCGGCCTTTAAATAGGTCACAGCCCCGGTGACAGCACCGGCCGCTGTACATCCCAGGGCCACCGAGCCCCAGCTACTTGACACACCGGAGGAGTGCCATGTCCTGGTACATTGAACTTTTTCTTGACGGGGAAAACCTTGCTCCTTTAAGTTTTTTTTGTTTTTGTTTTTGTTTTGTTTTTTTAATATATTTTATTGATTTTCCACAGAGAGGAAGGAAGACAGATAGCCAGAAACGTTGATGAGAGAGAAACATCGACCAGCTACCTCATGCACACCCCCTACCGGGGATGTGCCCGTAACCAAGGCACATGCCCTTGACCGGAATCAAACCTGAGACCCTTCAGTCCGCAGGCAGACGCTCTATCCACTGAGCCAAACCGGTTTTGGCTCCTTTAAGCCTTACTGTTGATAATCTTCAAAGAACAAATCTGTCCGCTTGCGTTATGTGGAGGACAGTATGGTGAACATCACCGAGTGTCTGACTTAATCCTCAGGCGGTTGTTGAAGGCCTGCCCGGTGTCGGGTGCCAGGCTGGGGGTACGGCCCTCGGGGGACATGGCCCTGAGCCTCCCCCCCCCCCCCCCCCCAAGGAGGCGAGAATCTCAGCCCCCGGAGAGCGCCAGGCGCCGCGGGGCCCTGGGCGGAGTGATCGCACTGATGGTGCCATGGTGCTCAGAGGCTCAGGTACTTTTCTCGGGAAGAGCCCTTCCTTGTCACGATCCTCAACCATGGACGTGAGGTGGGTGTCCCGTCTCCAGGAAAGGGGCAAGTTCGTCTGAAAAGTGGTCGCTACATGGATCAGATAGTCACGTTTCCCTTCTCTCCATCAAATGCCTTCCCATGAAATCGCCACTGGGCTCCACAGAGCTCTCAAATCTAATTCTCTCTCTCCCTCCCTCCCTCCCTCCCTCCCTCCCTCCCTCCCTCCCTCTCTCTCTCTCTCTCTCTCTCTCTCTCTCTCTCTCTCTCTCTCTCTCACACACACATACACACACACACCCACACACACACACACACACTCAAGTTCTGCTCAGGAAGGCATCATCCAGTTTTCTTATGAGTCAGTTCCTCCTGCTAAAAACTACCCAATGCTGGGAAAACGCCCGCTGAGCACTCTTCCGAAGGCGGCCACGTTCTTCCCTTCTCCCTGGAGCCCTCGGCACCTGGCCGGACGCCTCTGTTTGCAGGAAGGACGCAGTGACTCAGAAGGTGTTCGTTCTGATGGGGAACGGGCTCCAGAGCCGCCTCATCTCCGCTCCAGGACGGCAGCCGCCCCCAGGCTCTGCGCACAGACCCCCGAGACCACAGCTTCCTCCGCGTCAGCAGTGCCTGCTGCTCGGCGTGCGGTGCCCACGGGGCCTGGCGCCGGGAGGGATGCTGTGCTGTCCCGGCGTGCGCTCGGGTCCCTGTGGCCCACAGCTTCGTCACAGTGAGGCTCTGGGTCCCCTCCCTCAGGCCACGGGGAGAAGCAGACTTGCAGGTGGGGTGTGAGCACGAGGAGGACCACCCCTTGCGGCTGCGTGGCGGCGCCCGAGAGGCTCCGCCGGCCTGGGGCTTGTTGTCAGATGCACAATGCGCTGATGTATGTGCAAGTGGTCATGTCACACCCGGTAAGGGGACTGCTATTTTCACAAAACCGACTCTCTCCCCCTCCCCCAGAGCTCGCGAGCCACTGCTGGGACCCTCAGGGCAGGAGGCTCCCTCCGCTGTCAGGGCCGTAGGACCAGGCGCTGCGAAGTGGAAGGCACAGGCCGCCCCGGCTCTGTAGACACGGCCTCGTTCTCCGTCTGGGGGAGGCGGATGCCTACCTTCTTGCCTTCTCCGTAGATGAGGGGAAACTTCAAGTCATCATCCTCAATGGTTTTGTACGCCCTGTAGGGGGACAAACAACATCCTTTAACAGGTTTGCACTCAGTCAGTGACCCGCTCCCGCGACACAGGCTGCTCGGTGCTTCCTTCTCCCCGAGACTCCATCCGCTCAGCACACTGCCGGGCTCCTTCTTTAGAAAGAGCTGTTCTCCCCACAGCAGTGTGTGTGTGTGTGTGTGTGTGTGTGTGTGTGTGCATATTTTAATGAACCAGAACATAAGGTTTTGTATGCTTGAAGAGGGAAAGAGTAAGTTGGCCCATTCATAATGAGCACGGAGGGGAGGGGCCCCTGTCCTGAGCGCTCAGTGCCGTGGGATAATGAAGTGCCAGCACCGGTGACAGGGCCTGTCATTAACCTCGAACGGTGAGAAAGGGCGGAGCTCTGACGTGGATGGATGGAGAGTGAATGTGAGCCAAGGGCCAGATCTCACCCTGGGGGTGGTTTACACCAAAGCAGCCCGGTGTGGGGATGGCTGCTTGACCTCAGTGTGATATTCAAGGTTGGCGGAAAATTCTGTTTCACAATAGCTATTAAATGGCCATTCGACACACAGGAACCCGGTTGATGCCTCAGTGGTTTCAGACATGGTTGTCCAGATGCCACGCACACACGGCACAAGCCGGGGCTGGGGAGCAGATGAAGCCTGTGTCTCGCAATTTTGCTCACAAGGAATTTTAAACACAAGCCAACAGACATGGCGCCCGATTACCACCTGCATCCTGAGCAGGTCGCTTCCCCTGTGCTGGTCTCGGTTTCCTCACCTAGGAAAGGAGGATAATCACGCAGGATGTAAACAGCTGAGGACAGAGCCTGGCACTTAGTTAGAACCCAATTAGTGAGCTATTACTAATATTTAGGACATAATTAATACGTGGCATACCAGTTTCCCTTTCTTCAAAATGGGGATGACACTGCCTGCTCACCACCTCAAAGAAATATTAGGAAGACAAAGCAGAGGTTGGGGTAGGTTCTGCTAGGTTAGGTTCCAGAAGCAGGATGCTTTTCCAAAATAACGGCTCCTGCTCTAGCCAGTTTGGCTCAGTGGATCTAGAGTGAGTTCGATTCTTGTCAAGGGCACATGCCTGGGTTTCGGGCTCCGTCTCCCATGGGGAGTGTGTAGGAGGCAGCCGACCAATGATTCTCTCTCATCATTGATGTTTCTATGTCTCCCTCTCCCTTCCTCTCCGAAATAAATAAAAATACATTTAAAAATAAAAAACAAAATAGAGTAACGTCAAAATGGCCTCCCAGTCCTGATATATCCAGGCAAGTTGGGAGTGAACCTCTCGATATACAAGAGAATGCAACCCAATTTAAAGAATGCAACCCCAAGGCTGACGCAGGTGCATCCTTATTTCCCAGGAAGCTACTCAGGGGGTGGGGTGGGCTCGGGCTCCGCACTGCCCTCTGTGCAGCCTGGGCAGGTGGGGGGAGCCTCTCTGGACCTCAGGATCCTCATGATCCCAGGGCGAAAACAGGCCTGTGAGGATCCCAGTGGGCCAGGGAATGCGATGAGCTCTGGGTGCATTCAGCACAGTGCCTGGCACGGCTGAGGCCTGGCACAGCTGAGGCCTGGCACAGGCTGGGGCTGTTGTCAGGTGAGCCCAGAGGTGCTCCAGAGCCGGACTGTCAAAATCAGAACCTCCTGCCCCTAAATCTACTCAATTTCCCCAAAGGGGAGAAAACTCCTTAGATGTCTTTATACCCACATGAACTATTTAAAACACTGTAGTATACAAGTCATTGGGAACAAGCCGCTATTATTAGGACACAGGCTCAGCTTGGGATCGAATGGGCCTGTAGACCAGTGCTCACAGCCGAGGCTGCATGTTCAGTCACCCATGAGGGCTTTTAAGCAACCCTTTGGCCAGGTCCCACCGCGGAGCAATGAATCTGGACCTCTGGGGATGGGAATCAGGCACCGGGACCTTCTCTAGACTTCCCGGAATTGTCACCCACAGGATCAGGACAATTATAAGTTCTAATATCGTATTTTAGCTTCTGTTTCTTCATCTTCAAGAACAAAACAATCCCACTAAAAACAGAAGAGAACCCTGGATAAGGAAGGGTTATTCTGTTTCTGCCACTGTTGGTTTTCAATCAAATGTGAGCCCGCCCCCACAGATGACCAAGGTGAAGAACTAGGTAAAAAGAGAAAGTACAATACCCTCCCCCTCAACCTTTCGGGGTCCTAAGTACAGTTCATCATGAAGGTAGCTGGACTTCCCTCCATACTTAAGGTCTTGAATAATAAAGAATAAAAGGCCTGAGAGTTAAAACTGGTAACTTGATCGAAGAGTCTGTATAAATTAATGCCAGCTAACAATGAGTTACTGAACACCTCTCCATGCCAAGCACTGAGCTTGGTGCTTGCTTACAGTGCCTAAAACCGCCAAAGACTGACTTGTTTCACTTAGCATGATATTCTCCAGGTCCTCCATGCTGCCTCAAAGGGTAAGAGATCCTTTCCCCCCACCACAGCTGTCCACAGTATAAATGCACCACAGCTTTTTTATCCACCCATCTACTGATGGGCACTTGGGCTGTTTCCAGATCTTTGCTATTTAAAATTGTGCTGTTATGAACATAGGGTGCATACATTCTTTCTGATCGGTGCCTCAGGTTTCTTAGGATATATTCCTAGAAGTGGGATCCCTGGGTCAAATGGCAGATCCACATTTAATTTTTTGAAGAAACGCAGTGTAAGAGAAAAACAAAGTATGACCTGATCGCACTCATGTGGAATCTAAGTAACTAAATAAACTGATGAAGGGAGTGGACCCAGAGGCATGGAAGCATGGAACAGAGTGCGGAATCTCAGAGGGAAGGCGGGAAAGGGTGGGTAGTGGGAGGTAATCAACTGAAGACCCTGAATGCATAACCCATGGACATAGATAATGAGGTGCTGAAGGCCTGGGGCAGGGTAGAGGGGACGGGCAGGCTGGAGGGGGGTCAATGGGGGGGGGGGAAGGGACATATGTAATACTTTCAACAATAATTATTTTAAAAAAATGAAACTACTCCAAGACCTTACACACAAGAGTACTGAGGCTCAGAGGTGTTGAGTTCCTCTCCCCAGATCACACACATGTTAGTGACCCTCAGGCTAAATTGGACTTTCCCAGAAAACACACCAAAGAGATGTGATGTCAGGGCTGAGCTCTGGGTTTTTCTTATTCCAGCTGGAGAGACTCAAGGAGCCCATTGTTATCCACTGCCCGGTGCGGGAACAGCAGGCACTGGATGGAGGGGGACTTTTGGCAAAAGAGGGAGGAAAGTTTTCAGTGTGAGGTTAAAGGGCCAAAGGTGACCACGTGTGGACAAAACTGGCAGCTGCTGCACTAGACAGTCTACAGGGGCAAACAGAAAAGGCGGGGTGTGGTCAGAGTCCAGGGGAGCCTCTCCCACAGACAGCCGGCTCCTCAGGTCAGTTCTCACAGCTTCAGGGCCACCCCACTCTCTGCCCACCCGAAGGCCTGCCTGCTGTTCGTACTTCACTCCGGTCCACGTCTGGGCCGTGGGCCTGAGTCCATGCGTCCAACTCTGCCGTGGCTTCCGTCCTTCTCAACTGGGGAGGGCGAGAGGATCAGGACAGAGGCTTGAAGCCTGAGAGCTCCAGGACACAGAGGCTCTCGTGACCGGAGATTAATGAAAAATGACTCTTCTTTCACATCAGATCATCCTACGATTTCTGAAATCCTGATTAAATTTTTAAAAATAACTCCTGAAACGGATTACTCACTAGTTTTACAATAGTATAACCGGGCAGAGATCATATTCAAATAATTACTTGAAGCGTAGCTGAAAGGCTTAGAAAGACTTTTTAGAATAACTCTTATTTTGGGTCAACTCCTCTATGAATATTTATGAGGCCAACTGACAAAAAGATGAGATGAGGGGGAAAAAAAAAAATTCAAGCCCAATTAAAGGGCTTTCTCTAACACAGGGCAGTGTCCTCAGAAGATTGCCCTAAACATTGTTTTTTAAGCCATCCCTTCCCTGGCCATGTGGATTCTGCAAAGCTGAGAAGACAAGGCACCGGTTGTGTTGGACCCACCAAAAGGCTAAGCTCTGGGAGAGACAGAAAGACCACCAAGTACCCCAGATGCAGGAATCCTCCCTCCAGCACAGCTCCTATCGGTCCCTGGCCTCTGCCATCACGTGGGATGCTACAGTCACTGTCCCAGGACCTTAATATCACCCACAGCCCACTCCACTGAAGGACGTCCCCAGTCAGTTCTTCAATTGACCCAAACAGCCAGTCATTGATATGTGTGGTCTGTCTTCTGGAGAAACATGAAATAATTCCTGTCTCTCTTCTCCTTGAAGTTCTGCAAGTATTTGATGAGAGCTATCTCCACGTTTCCTCCCCAGTTCCTTCAGCTGTTCTTCCCAGGACCCAGGGCCCCATCTCGAACCACCCAGTCCCTGTCCATTCAAATATTCATTAACTAAGCACCAAGCACTGTGGTCGGGGCCATTGGGGGCGACCGAGCTTGTCTGCGTCCTCGGAGAAGGGCAGTCAGATCTGAAAACACTTAAGCTGTGGTTCACATCAGAAAGCAAGGGCTGCTGCTTTGAGATTGACTTGTTCCTCTTTAAATAGCTGCAGCTTATATTTGCATCATGTGCACGCGTCGGTATATGTGTGGTTTGGGGTCATATACTGAAATGATGAGTCAAAAAATTAGCACAAAAAACGCCGACCAAATCAAAGCCCGCCAGTCTGCGAGAAAACAGGCAAGAGTGGTTCACGGGCTCCTCTGGTTTATGTTTACACAACCGGTATGTCACTCTGAGCGGAAAACTCTGCTGCCCTCATTCATTTTATCTTGCTGGTTTCAGTCCATTGCTCCAATCCACCCAGAGACGTTTGAATTCATGTCCTCTCATCCAAAACACCAGCTCTCCTCCTATGCTGTGTCACGTTAAATTTGCTAAGTGGCTCTGCTATTTCCTCCATGATCTGGAAAAAACGTTAAGCAGAACCAAGTCCTCAGGG